AATGGTTTTATGGCCAATCAGAGCGCGCGTACTATTTGAATTATTTTATAACATCTTTTGTTTCCTTGTTTTTTCACTCCCTTTTTTTGATTATTAATTCTCCTCTTTAGCTGCTGCACATTTCCTAGTAAATAAATTACGAGAATTTGGTGTCAGATGAAGATAGAAAAACTTATCCCTAGTAAATTTTAGAGTTCTCATTACTTGTTTGCTGGATAATGTATGGATGTTTTTGGGAGAAGTTACATGTTCATCACTTCTGGGAGTTAAAAAGTTAAACCATATCAACCAGGAAGGAGGAAGTAGTTAGTTAGATCTTGAATCAGAATCAGAAATGGGATATCAATAGTTTCGTCGGGTTCTAATGATTTATGTTTTTTTTACAATGAGCAAAATCAACTTTTGACTTAAAGGAAAGCATACAGTGTTAGTTTGATAAGGAAGAGGAAAAAAAGAAGCAATCACTAACAAAACAAAGATGAAATAAGATTCAAGGCATTTTGAAGCGCGGCCGGTAACAAAATTTTTCTGCCAAATGCAAATAACTGCAACATCTATTCCGTTTTCCGCATGTTATATGGTCTTGAGAGCCTGACCAAAAACGGAAAAACGGAAGAGTAAAAGGTATATTTCAGAAGACCCCTCTTTGGGAATGATGATCTCGAAACGCAACAATTTAAGTGCACGCAATTATTTACCGTTTAATGAAGATTACCCAAGGTCGCCGCAAAGCCTCAGTTGAAGTCAGAAAGCTTAGTTTTGTTTTCAGCTCTAATTCGCATCGTGTTTGGGAATGAAGTATCGTCAACTCCAATACTAATTTCCTCGCTTGAAAGAACTACATGGTCATTGTTTTTCGAAACGAGTATCATTTAGCACGTTTTATTTTCATTTTGAGCTCCAAAAGGTCTATCTCAATCGAGACAGAGCTATGATATAACAACGAATTGCACTCGAAATCATGTTGTTACCTATACTAATAAAGTTCGGATATAACACGTGCTACCTTTGGTTGGAAGAGCGTCTCGTGTTTTTCCCCTACAGTACTTTCGTGCTTTTTGCAGTACTTTTCCCAAATTATCTGGGACTTTCAAGACATCAGTGTTCTAGATTATCCATATATTGAATTTAATTGATCTCCAGCCAAGTCTAGGAGTATTAATAATGAGCTCTGACTATGGTGCACATGTTGAAAATTTCAGTTCTCTTACATGATTGCTGAAAAGTGTGTTGATGTGATTGGGAACAATCCTAGAACGGTAAAAATAATTCATTATTTATTTTTTCATTTAGAATTCCTTATTTTGCAATTTGACATTAATTTTTAAGCTAGTTACTCATTTTGAGACAATGACCTTAAAATTAATGTCCTATTTATTTTGCTAGGTCAAGCTTTGCAGGTCAATTGATTTACAATTTTTGTTAATTACATCACAATTTAAGATTATTATTCTCTTGAAGAGGAGAGAATAAAATATGTTTCAATACGTAGTTACTTGATTTTGGCATTATTTGTAGTACAATATTTCACTAATAGTAAAGTACAACTGACACCATATGCTAGTCGCAATTTTGTTATATTTCTAATAAGATACATGTCATTGTTTAACTGTTCTTACAAGGTTGTTGACATTAAAATATTATCATGTATGAAATGTATTTAATTACCTTTTTTTCCCTTTTTCAAAGGTGTCTGTTGATTAGGTAAAAATATCTTAATTGTGAAACGGATCATCTGCTTCTGAATATAGTTTTAGTTTGTAAAACTGTCACAAGTGTGTAAGTTTGGATTATCTGGTAAGCTTTTTGTGAGAAACAAATGAATATTAATAAACAAAGTTTAAAAAAAAAAAAAAAAAAAAAAAGCCGCTTCCCGCCACTTTAAAACAGAACAGAGCACAATCAAGGCTTCTATATTTGTTCAGTGTTTCTGGCGACCATGTTATGATTTTAGGTCACCAAATACCTTACAACTCAAACCCTCTTCACCAGCATGATGGGAACACCTCCCCCTGGCCCCTGAAAAAAAAACCTCAGAACGGTATTCTAAGCATGGTGGGTTTTCGTTCAATTTATCTGAAAAACATCCGCAGCAAAAATGAGTTGAAATTGGTATGGGCGTGTAGTTCAACGTGTCTGTTGCAATATGACAACTTTCTTCAGCACAATCGAAACTCTTTACTTGTACTCCACAAAATAATCGGGTTCACCGTATGCTTAACATAGTACGCAAAAAGGCAAACGACGTCAGCGTAAAAGAAAACCTGGTTCGTTGCCATTGTGACATCGTCTTCGAATTCCCTTATCAGCATCAAAACACCTCGAGGAATTGAACAACACTGGAAAACAGCAACAAGACACACCAGGACTTTCACCACGTGAATCTTTTGCTTGATTCGTTTCAGAATGTCCTTTCTGTTAGCGTTTCCTTCGGAGGCACGTTTTAGTTCTCGGTAAACGACAATGAATACGTTCACGTAACACCACGACTGTATGAATAGAGGAACCGTGATGAACAACACGACGAGGTAAACTTCGTACACGCGGCGGAATTCATCCGATGGGAACTCCGGAGTGCAGTAAACTCTGCCATCAGGTCCTTTATAGAGCTCAAGTATAACAGCTTGGGGTAAGGCCGCGGACACGTAACAGCCTAACCAAATGAAAGCTACCAAAAACTTTGCCGTTTTCTGGTTAATTCGTTTGTTAAAGGGCTGTTGAATTGTCCGGTACCTCTCCAGCGCTATGGTCGTATGAGTCACGACTGATACAGAGACGAAAAGCTCTTGAATGGAAACAAGGAAATTGCACATGAAACTTCCGAAAGGCCAACCTGTATAATTCTCCATGATTCGCTGAGGGGCTGCAATCATAGCCATTCCTAGGTCTGCCAAGGCGATAGAGAAAAGCATATAGAAATATGGGGCTCTCGACGGCTGACGGCGACCTATCGCTAGCAAAAGAAGTATGTTCCCTGGTGCTCCGATAATTATCATAAACGAAAAGAGCACCGTCGTTGCTGTTACTGGCTGGTACGCGAACGTTTCATTCGTTGAAAAATATGAGCCATTACTGGGCGAAGGCATATTTTGATCCAGACCCAAAGACTGAGGAAAAGCTTTCTAACTATCGATGTACAATGATGATGAACCTCCTTCTTATCGCCCTTTTCTTATTGCTTCGAGTACACAACAAAAAATGAGTTACAAGAGAAACCGCAGTCAATTTTTCATTTGCAACTACAAAAAAAAAACATCTGTTTAGCCTAAGGACACTATCTTAATCGAGTTCCTGTCTGGGGAGATGACTCTCTGCTATACCGTAAACACGGCTGTTCTAAAAGGCGCAGCCTCAGTAGCTTTATCTAACCTTGTAATGAAAAACAAAGCTATTTGTCGGCGTCTCCGTGTGTTTAGCCTAAAGTTTGACAAATATTTTCCAATTAATTGCCATAAGATTGACAAGCAGTCACGAGGATGTCCCCTTTAATTAATTACCTATCAAAAGCAACTGCGTCATCTCCGCCGAATCCCCTCAGTCCTATATCATCTTTGCTCCTTCCTTGTTAAATGCTACCTCTTTGGTGTTTTTCTCTCTAACCAAACTAAAATTTTCTGCTTCCCCTAACGTCAAAGGCAAATTTGCTCATCGCAAAAAAAAGAAGAATTATTCGGAACCTTGCAAAACAATCAATATCCGATCGAGGATCTAACAGACGACTTCTTTCTTCCTCTTTGGTCGTCGTGATTTGAAAGGCAAGCAAACAAACGACGGATAAAAAGCTACCCTTGAAACAAACAGGAATGTTAAAATTAGCTGCGCAGCTGATGCTTTCTTCGGGCGCTCCAAGAAATGGAAGCTCTGTCGTGACTTTCCCAGTCCTCTTGCGGCCTTGCCGCTCATTTCCAGGGCTCAACCGTATAAAAATCTCACAAAACAGCCAGCAATGTAAACTAAATTAATCTCTGATTTGGCTTACTTAACACTTATGATAAAATACTTGAAGAGATCGAACGGAAAAACAGTCAAAAGCCTACTATTCACAACAAATGCAAAGCAGACGGTAGAAATCCAAATTTTTTTGTCTGCTGTTCACATAAATCTGCATATTAAACACATTTGACGGTACCTCAAAAGTGGAGTTATGGTGGAGCCTCGCTTTCGCGCCAATGACGACGGGCTTGCCATCTATGTACAGCGGCCTCCGACCTTCGTTGATGACACAGTACTCACCATCGCTACGAAGCTTGATTACCGCCTGTGAATTAAAACAACAACTTATTCCTCAACAGGACTTTCCGAAGGATGAATTTTCTTGGATCCACTTGATTTTTGCACCTTTTTCGAGTTACCTGAAACTCAGGTGACTTGGTAAAGCTAAGGGTGTTGGACCAATTTTACATTGAGGGCCAAAAGGAATCTAAGAATGCATCGATTTTTCTTTTTTACACTTCATGATTCGTGAAGAAAACTTGCGTCACTTTCTCAGCGAATCCGGTTCAAAATTTCAACCGAAATTGACTTGGCGACCCGCGTCGCAGTTTCCCGCGCTTGAAGGAGATAATATAAATATCTATACTTTTTTAAGTTCTTATTCGTTCTCTGCGTTGTTTACTTTAGACCTGATTAGCAGTTTTAAATAGATGGTGTCACAACATTCAATCGAAAAGCGCATTATCATGTGGTATTTAAGTTATTGTTCGTAGGTGGTTACAAAACAATTCTTCGAAACAAAATTGGCAAAAAACTTTCACACAAATGCGACTGGCCAATAAAAGACTACCAATCACAACGCATTGATCGCGCGCGTCACTACGTGTACGCCAATTGCCCGCGTCGCGCCGGTCCGGTTGTCTTCTTAGCGGGAATTCTTAAAAAACTGATGATCATTTCACTTTAACATCATATAAGAGTTCCATTTTCTACGCAACGCTTACCTGTCGCCTTGATATTTTCCATGCTGGTCCTTCTAAGGACAAATCAACATCAACGTGATTGTCAGCGGTAGATCTTCCGACGATAATCTGTAGCCAAACAAAATAAATACCCCTATAAGTGTGTTGACGAAATTAGCTAATTTGTGCAATAATTTAAGACATGGTAACTACACAAACAAATTGACTCAATGGGGAGTGGATAGGTTAAAACTCCAACTAGCAAGGTTAACCCAACGGTTAGCTATTTAGAGCGCTTTTCGATTGAGTGTCGTAAAGGCAAAAACCAAAATAATCACGACTGCCAATCTAAGGGAAGGAAAATACCTTTAAGAGCCAATGAGAACTCAACATGAAAACAAGCAAACTGTCTAAAGCGCGGGAAACCGCATCTTTATTGCTTCTTATTGGTTGAGAGAGTGGCGCGAGTTTTCTGGACCAATCACAGAGAGAAGAGCACGCATGGGTTGCACTCACAACCAAAGGGGAACAAGTCCCATTAAGGTGCAGAGTGGAGAATCATAACCTTGGTTATTTTACAGCCTGTTTTGAGGTTACGCAGTTGTTACTGTTAAACATTTGGTTTTATGCCTATTTCTTGGAAACTGCTCCGCAAGTAACCATGATTTAAGGGGTGAACGACAAGTGCTACAGTGACCCACGCCATTACTTATCAGAAAAAGTCTTACGCCGCTCTACCACTTACCTCTCTGGAGCGCATCAGGTATCTGACCAGTCGCCCTCTCAACACTGCAAGTGTGTGGGAATCAAACTCGCTGGCTGGTGTGACTGTGGTGGCTCCCGCTGAGAAGAGATGACAATATATTAGCAGCCACTGAGGGTGCTGCTAATAAAGTTAATCATTATAAAAAAAAAAGGACAAACGCTCTGACGGGAAGGTGGACACGGACAGACTATTCGGTACCAGTCTTCAGCACTGGAACTCGTGATGGCATGTTGGCATAGCATGTTGGTCTTAAGACTAAGGGACGGTTATTTGATCAAAATTCAGCCATTGTTAAACAAAACCGCGTCCTAAGCAGTCCTAAATTCACCTAGACCTTTCATATGAACATTTATTTATGTGAACAGTGTCAAGTGGGTCGAAAGCTGATAATGGAAGGACATTTACATAATAAAATCAACCCTCTAATAGAGAAAACCTGAGGCCCACTGATTGCGTAAAACCGTGGTTCGAGTTAGACCTCGTGAACCGGCCGTAGGAGTCCACGTTTAAACCCCAGATAGCGGCTATCTCACTGTAAGTTCTTGCTCGAGACTCCGCATTAGAGAATAATTGGGCCTAGCAAATTGTTAAAAAAAACGTGATAAATACTGAGTGCAGGGAAGAAGAGGAGAAGCATCTTTAAGAACTATAGTGATATTTCGCGAGTAACCATTGAAATTCTTGAGCAGAGAAAAGGACTGCGAGAACTAAGTGTCTTGTCCAAGAATACAGCACAATGACCCAACCAGAGCCAACATCAGGCCTTTTCGACCACTGGAGTTCAATACACAAACCGGTAGGTTGTTTCTACTCTGCAACTGTTAGGGTGCAATTAAAGAATACTTAAGCATCGTCTTACTGGCTGCATTGAGTTTTTCCACGATAACTTGCCACAACGGAATCTCCCCTTCTAACATGCGTATCTCTCTTTTGTTTCGTCTGTCGGCCAATGAAAGTTCCTGTTCTAGGTTATCATCCTTGGTTTCTCTGTTCAAAATGAAAAGGAGATGGCAATCAAATAAGCAGTCAGAAAACAAGTGAAATGTCTCTACCAGGCTCTCTAGGAAAAGTAACTCGAATAGTCCCCGATAAAGAAGTCTTTTTCATAGCCGTTGTTTGGTTTTGTCACGCGACATATCACATGACGCACTCTAAGGGGGAGGTAGCATGTTGCGTGACAAAAGAAACAACGGTCTTGACTACAGAAACTACGTATCGATTTTTTTATCCGTACTATGAGGCGTAAACACAATCATGATCTGCAAGCACAGTACGTGTACTTACGAGAGTTCAGCGTCGTTAATCTGTTCCTCAGCATCAGAAAAACTCACTGCATGCTCTGCTGTGGAAACTGAAGAAAGAGGGACACTGAATGGCCTTTCACATAAAACTGAACTTGTGCCATGAATATGACTATGAAATGACTGGCTGGCTTGTGATGTCAATCTTTACCGTCAGGTTTAGAAAGTCAATCTGGGATACCGGCTGACTGACTGACTAACTGAGTGACTGTCTAATGGTTTGTTGACTGATGACTGAAAACTGACTGGCTGCCCGACTGATTAACTAACTGACAGACCAGCTGACTTACAGCATGAGGACTGACTGGAGCACAGTCTGACTGACTGACAGACAGACTTGATGACTGAATAATTGAATGGTTGATCAACTGACTGATAGACTCACTGGGAGGAAGACCAACTGCATGATGACTGGCTAGCTAAGTAGCTAATTGACTAAAACAATAATGACTGGGTGGCTGACAAGCTGACTGAATGGCTAGTTTATTTACATTATTACCTGTCTGATCAGAGAGGAGTTGATATTGGCGCATCAGAAGCCAGTGATTTCTTAGCGCCTTAGCTGACCGACACTGGTGAAAAACTGAGGGGTTTTTATCCAACAAATCTTGGAATAATTCTAAAGAAGCTGGGCTGTTCTAAAAGAGAAAAGCACAGGCATTTTTTGTAAAAACTATCAGGATACCTTTTTTAGGCTAAAAGTTTCAAACAGTTACACTTTAAGATCACCAAAACAACTGGAATTCATTCCAAAGTTGTTAATGAGCTGTTCAAAATTCACTTCAACTTTAAAGAGACAACATGTAAATAATGTTTGTTTGACAACATAGAGGAATGTGAAAAAGGCTATATCAAAAGGAGAAACAATTATAGCTAAAAGAAGACGATTTCAATGGATCACAAAATTAAATTTTTTCATGATGCACAAACTGCAACAATTTACACCCTAACATCAGTATCCATATTCTTCATACTCTTCTCCATTCATTTCCTTTGCTACTGACAAGGAGAATTGGTTTAACAATCAAAGCTTCTTAGATTGACGATCATTTCCTTGATTCTCATGATCTCAATGAAGGACTCAGCAGTATCATTGTAAGGAAGAATTACATGCTGGTCACTCTTTAAAGGGCTTAAAGGGTTAAATGCACAGTAATTGTGTAACTCTTGCTTACTGCTGGCACATTTGCTAAGATAAGTTCCTCTTCTTTGTTCCACAGTGCATTGTTCTGTGCTGCAGCAATGACATCTGGAGGAAGCTGTTTGACAGCAGTAGTGGCCAACCTGTGATTGGATGCCAAGGATAAAGATAAAATTTCTCAATGGATTCCACAGAAAATAATGAAATTTCTCAATTGATTCCACAGATGATGATGAAATTTCTCAATTGATTCCACAGATAATGATGAAATTTTTTAATGTTAAGTGCCAACTGAAGAGAGAAGCAAAGAAACCTTTGAACAATGACACATGCGTGTACGTGTACAGCTTGTGCTCACATTAAAATCTCACAGTTTTTTTAGGGAGCAAGAAGCTCAATACCTATACATTAACTCTATGAAAGAGCTTGCCTGGAGTTTGAATCTTGTGTGAAATGAAAACATTTCATATGTGCAAGCTATCCTTTATGCGTTTGATCATCAAATCCTTCTCTTAAAAACTGCAGATTGAGATCCTTGAAAAATTCTTCAAGTATCTTGATTCTTGAAAAATTGCCACTCCAGCCATGAAACATGATTCTTGATTCTAAAAAGTTTAAAGACTCAAGGAGGGAGTTTTGAGTCAAGACTGTCAACTTCCTTTGAAGCCATAAGTTTAAGATCTTGTAGAAGACAAAGAATACCACAAACCTTGACACCACTGGGTCATAAAGAAGTTGATACCATCTTTCTTGAATTTCTTTTGGAGTGAATCGACAAGAGAACTTTATCCCAAGATAAACAGCTGTCAGATCATTTGTCTAGAAAGAATATTATCACTGGATTGGATACATGTGACAGCAGATAAATTTGTCCATCAAAGTTAAGACCACTGCTTTATATAATTTTCCTGGAGGGTGTAGTCTTTTAACA